GAAGAAGTCGGAGCGCGTGGCCATGGGTCCTGCGCCGGAATGCAATTGGCGCAAAGCTGGAAGCTGGGTTGACGCCGCCCGCGCACTTCAATGTCCGGAATGTCGAGAGCGCGTTATCGAGTCGTTCGAAGGACTCGATGGCCCGAACATCCAAGATGGGTTCGCAGCAGTTCAGATGAGGATTGGGCCTGGCAGTTCCCAGCAGGACAAGGCCACGGTAGGAAGGGTCCATGTGAAGACAACAGTGCTATTTGAAATCGTATAGATTATCGACAGCATCGCGAACTCAGAGCCAGTGTGCACGCGCCTAGAGACATGGAGGTTCGAGCCCCAGGGCGGCTCAGCAATGAGAAACGAGCGCAATGATAAACGGAGCCGGCGATAGGAAATCTGAAGATGAGAGGGGGGGCGCGCTGCCCTCGGGCGGGGTGGGTTGAATTGCGCCCCATCTCTGGAGAGGATGGCGACGAACGGCGGGCAGGCATCGCTCCGCCAAGGTCAGCGGCAATATGAAGAATGGTAGAGGGTGGAGACGATGACAGAACTGGAGGAGTTAGAGAGGAAGGTGCTGATGATGAGGAGATAGAGCAAGGGTGGGCCCAGGAGCCGGAGGAGGCGATTGGCCCGGCGACGAGAACATGGAAGCACATGCACCCGAGCAGGTCGACATATCACAAGATGCTTTGATCGCTGACGAGGTGCTCGTCGGGTACACCGGGATGGCTTTTGACGCCCATGTATTGGAGTGGCAAGCTAGCGCTGGTTTGGATATGATCAAACAGGTCAGCGGAGTGGGGGGCAGTAAGGTTACGCGGCGCATTCCGGAACGCGCCCCTGCGGCCCGCTCGCCAGTCCGAGGCGCTGGCGCGGCGGAAACATGGAGCTCGCGCCAGGGTTGGCCATGGATTTGATTATTGGACGACATGCGATGCGCACGGATACCGATGGCATTCGAATTGCGAGGAGATGCGAGCAGGAGCGAAGAAACTCATCGAGAGCAAAGCCGCAGCACTTCTGGCAGTTGGCCCAAATTTGCGCGGGCTTCAGCGTGTTTCAAGCCATCAACTCGAAAAGGCTGGGGCCGGCAAAGGGTGGGACATGCTAGACTGCGGGATGAAGCGCTTGAAAGCAGCGGGGGCTCAGAGAAGCAGTGCATCGCGTTCTCTCTCTCTCTCTCTTCGAGCTCTCCGCGGGGGCCTTGCGCTAGGCCGCGCCGCCAACGCTGAGCAGCTTAGAGCGCGAAGGTGCGCGCTGGAGAGGGAGCTCAGAGATGGCTCATGCGGCTCACCCGTGGATTTGTGGAGCGCGCCGACGCCTGTCTGGTCGAGAGTTGCAGAGGCTGGCGAGGCGTTGGGAAGTGGCTAAATATTTGAATATGGCGATGCCTCAGGGGGCGAGCTCGGCACAGAACTCACGCTGCAAGCTCGGGGGGGCGGGGGGGTGGGGGTGGGGGGGGGCACAATGTAGATAGCGCGAGGTCAGGGTGGATGTGAAGGGGAAGGGATACTGGTTTGTTCCTAGCACTGACCTCACATGCGCGAGGCGGCTACACTTCGACGAGGGTGGCGCGGCCAATCCGGAGCGCGGAGCCCAGCGAGCGGCCCAGGAACTTGAGTAACATTACGTGAAGAATGAGCACGTACGCAGCCACCCATACGTAGGAAGCGCAGGGTGCCCAGCGGCAGCTGCCCGAAGGAATGGGGCGTGCGTGGCCGAGGGCACCGTGGGCGAATCAGCTGGCTCTGGGATTTAAAGATTGCAAGCGGGCATGTTGATGCGCCAAGGCCACGAAGAACGTCTTCATGTAGTTGGCCGAAGAGCCCCGTGCAACGGATATCTGTGGAAAATCATAAAGTATGTGCGGCACCGGGGGCGTCGCCGGCGACTGGGCAGATCGCCAAACTGTTTTCTGGCACGTGGCGCTGGTTTTCTCAGCGGGGAAGCATCGCCACATATGCCGTCCAACATGTGGCACTTGGAATCTGGCTAACAGCTCATGGCTCCGTTTTTTGATAAGAGAGTAATGCGATTGATCGCGACTGGCTCATCTGAGATACCGGGAAAAAGCTCGGGCCGGACAAGGGCCAGGACCGACGCATTTTAAGCCAATCGCGATTCTCACCCGATTTGTGGAATAGAGCCAGGATGGTTCATAGCATGCGGAGGACCAAAGGCGCGCTGATATCTGCGTCGAGAAAGTGGGCCTGGGGCATTGCGCACTGAAGTGCAAGATGCCAAGTGAGTTGCAGCTCGCGAAGAGGGTGGTGAACAGCCCCTGCCGAGCCATGGCGCTGCGAAGTACCCAGCCTAAGCGACCAGGGCAAATTATGCAGCACAGGCCGCTCGGATATACAGTTTTCAGTCAACCGGCGTCAGCCTCGACCGCGGGGCGTGGGCAACTCCCGCCACATTGAGCAGGTAATTCAAGAATCGTGACAGGCGCTTGTATCAGCATCTGCGCCAACAACGCCCTAGGGAGTTAACTGCGTGGACCTATTCGCGGATGCAGGTTGGAAGACGACGGCGGCATCTACCAGTGGAAATGCCGTGATACGGGGATCACATGTCATTCAATCGCGATGTTATTGTCAGACCGTGGTGGCACTGTCTTTCGGCGAAACGAAGAATTGCGGAATGGTTAAAAGTGTTCCCGAAGCGTTTGGGCTGTAGGCGCTTCTCAACGACTTCGAAGTTGATTGTGCCATGTTTTTAAAGTGATGCGGAAACATGACGTTGTAAACATGCGTGGATTCGGGAAAGTGAAACGTTCCGAAAACTGTCAGTCTTGGTTGCAAGAAGATTCGGGCTCATTGTAGTCAGATTCGGAACCCGTGACAACCTGGTATATGCTCAAACTAAAGTATGTGAGCAGGGACAACATGTCCATGCATATGCTAGGTACGAACCAACAACTTGCTAACGGAAAACATGAGCTGGCATCGGCTACGGATATTAAACTTCATTCGTGTTCAGGTTATCTTCGCGAGCCGCTTTGCCGAAAGCTCGCGTTCACATTTCGTTAAACTCCAGGTGTTCATCTCACGTGTTTAAAATCTACACCGCAGGAGATGGGCATTGTTTTGCAGGTGTGCTGCTTTGCGGCACGTACAAAATTGTGCACCGCGTTGTTGGAAACACTTGCATGATGTTGCCCAGCTCATAGTCGCCTCCTGCTTGCACCAGCTGTTCTTGAAAATGCTTGATCATATTACTTGGCGTGTTGGTTGGCAGCCCTGGTTTTGATGCGCCGCTCTCTTATAATCAGTTATAATTTGAATAGACTTGCGTCGTGCATCTTGTAGTTCGTACTTTATACTACCATTTCCATGTGATGATGAGTTATGTGGGCATTTTTGGCGGCGGGTCGCCAGTCGATGTGGGGGTGTCTGTTGTTGAGCCCCGATTCCTGGCGAAAGGTACAGTGTAGCAGAAAATACATGCTACGGTTTGGCACAATTGCGACTTAGTATCTCGAGACCGCAGCTGTGTGGCTCAAGCTTTTTGTGCTCGCAAGGAAACATCCGATCCTATGATCAGGATACGGAAGAGGGAAGGAAGGAGGACGACGAGGGGAACAAGGAGAGGAGGAACATGGGGACGGAAGTGAATGGAGGATGTTGGATGAGCATGAGGAGGAGCACGACGATGAGGATGAGGGAGGTGGATGCGGCGGAGGAGGAAGAACATGCAAGAACACGATGAGGGATCTGATGGTGGCTATGATGATGACGGTGATGGTGGTGATGTTGATGTTGATGTTGATGATGCAGATGAGGATGATGATGATGATGATGCTGGTGAGGGGGAGGAGAAGGTACATGATGTTAAATAAATTCCCAACCGGCGCAGCAAGGATGAGGATGAACATGACGATGACGACGACGTTGGCGACGACGATGACGACGACGTTGACGATGGCGATGGTGATAATGATGGTGATGGTGATGATGATGATGATGAATCTCGTGAAACAGATGATGACGCTGATCAAGGTGATGATGATGATGATGGATGATGTCGGAGGAGGAAGGGGGAGGAGGTGGAGTATGACATTGAGGAAGGGAAAGCGCAGGATGCGGAGAAGCAGGAGGTTGAGGTGGAAGCGGAAATGGAGGGAAGCTGAGGGAGGCGGGGGAAATACTTCGGATGAGCATGAGAAGGGGAAGGTGGAGAATGAGGAGGGGGAGTCAGAGGTGGAAGAGGAGGGGGGGGATCAGCGATCCACACCAGGACGCCAGTATGTTGACCGGAAACGCCAGATGCACCAAACCGACGTTGCACTTTCAAGGGGAAGGATGTTGATGGTGATGATGATTATCATGAGGATCATGATTATCATGATGATCATGATGATCATGATGATGATTGTGGTGATGATTGATGATGAGAATGATGATGTCGATGATGATGGTGATTGTGATGATGATAATGATGTTGCTGATTATGATGATGATGATGCTGTTGATGATGATGATGCTGATGATGATGATGATGAGAATGATGATGATGATGATGATGATGATGATGATGATGATGATGATGATGATGATGATGATGATGATGCTGATGATCATGATGATGATGATGATGATGATGATGATGGTGGTGATGATGGTGATGATGATGATGATGATGATGATGATGATGATGATGATGATGATGGTGATGGTGATGGTGATGGCGATGGTGATGGTGATGGTGATGGTGGTGGTGGTGGTGATGGTGGTTGTGGTGGTGAGGAGGAAGAGGAGGAACAGGAGAAGGGAGGAGGAGGAGGAGGAAGAAAAAGAGGAGGAGCAGGAGGAAGAGTGGGATTCTTCTTGCTATGGAGATCAGGTGGAGATCAGGATGTCCTGAAGGAGAGGGGTTCCACGAGAATTTGCCGTGTGGCCGTCCCTGGGGTCATCCCTGGGGCCAGGGCCATCAAAGAGAGCAGCTCGGGGTGAAGATGCATTTTTGGGGGAAGCTGCGTGGTGTTCAGGACCCAGTTCCGTCTGGACTCCTGTCCTTCATGGCCCTTCCCGTGCAACATGCCAGTTCAGCCGCGCTCTGACTACCAGCAAGGCTTGAATTCAGTCGCTCAGCAGCCTGACAGGCCAACGTGCCCTGCACGTGCATGTCTCTTCATCTGGCGGTTCGCCTGGTGGTGACCCCACCCTCCCATGCAGTTAAAGGCTGCTTTTTGTTGGCTGGTCTGTGTCTTGGCCCATGACCACGAGGGCTCGCTCTGTAGCACTCCCCCCTGCGCTCACAGGCAGCATCAGGTGGAAACAGCTCCTCCTTCCTCATCCTCCCTCCTCCTTCAGCTGGCTTGCCCAATGCCAGGCCATCGCCCTCATGCTCGCCTCGATGCGAGGCCGGGGGAGTTGTTTCATACGTGCCCTCTGGGGGATGGGTGGGATTCGGCAGATAGATTGGGGTCGATGTACCTCAAGCTCTCTGCCGGGCCAGCCGTGATCGCAGTGCTGAGGCCCTGCGCTTGCTTTGACCCTTTGCTCTCCAACCAGTTTGCTCAAGGTCAAGCCCGCAGATTGAAACAAGGGCGCGTCCTTGCCCGAGTCCGAATCATATCACATCGCATTCCCTTCTCCTTCTCCTCCCCCTCCTCCCTCCACCTCCATTTCCACCTGTCTCCCCCCTCGTATGCCTGCTGACACCGCCGGCGCTCGACGGACCGCCAGCACGCCATCCTCCCCCTCCCTCTCGGCCTCCTTCCCCCATTTTTGGTGGGCCTGTTTTCCACCACCACCACCATAAGTTGGAGGCGGGGCGGGAGGGAGGTGGAGGATGAGGAGGAGGGAGAAGAGGAGGAGGAGGAGGAGGAGGAGGAGGAGGAGGAGGAGGAGGACCCCCTCCCCCTCCTAGGTGTGGTGGTGGTGGTGGCGAAAGACAAGCCCACCAATTTTGTCGTGTCCCACCCGACGCGTTGGAGCTGTCAGGTTTCCAGGAGAGGAGCTCCCGCCTGCCCGCCCGGCATGATGGCCGCCGCGGCCGCCGGGCCCCGCGGCACCCCCGCGCTCCCTGAGCCCCTGGCACCGCTCGGCCGTGTGCATTTTTCCCTCGGCGAGGACCGTCGAGGAGCATCCTTGATCACTTGGCGAAAAAGCCACGCACGAAGCCGAAACAATAACACGGGGAATGGCCGTCCGAGCGATGGCCAGGAGCATCCCGCCTCGCGTCCTCGACGACGTGCCGACACCGTGCCGCGGTCGCCGGACCCCACAGGATCCCCGTGGTCCCCGAGCATCCCCTTGGCGTCCTCGACGAAATGCCGACACCGTGCATACCAGGCAGCCTCGGGGCTCAAGAGACGGGGGTCAATGCAGACGGGGGTCAGCCAGGGCACCGGGTCCTGCAGGATCCTGCGAAGACCCCCTTTGGCTGACCCAGGATGGCGAGCCGCTCGTGACCCCCTCCTGCATTGCAGTTTTTTGGTTTCTTGCTGACCCGGGTCTAAATTGACCCGGGTCAGAAGATCCCCGACAGCCCGCAGAGAGAGGCGTAACGACATCACGCTGTCCAGGCGTTCCGACGCACGAACAAAGAGGTCTTCATAATGGATATCAAGACACAGCAGCGCATATCATGTTATAACATAGTATGTCACGTTACGTTGGCCATAACAGAGAAACACGCGCATTTGCATAGCATGACAACCCAAACCATACTATACAATTGAATTTCATTATATTACCATAAAACAGCCCATGGCATATCATACCAGACAATGTGATTTCATGCAATGCCAATCCCGATTACGACAGAGTATACCATGTACGGATGCATCATAACATTATATGCTTGTTCTACGACTGGTGTCACCGATATCGATTATATGATAGCACGCAATAAAAGACAACGCACGTGTATAACCACCTCACATCATAACATAACAGGCCATACTGTACTCCGCATCGCATAGCGTAACACAGCATACCGTAACGCGCATGGTATGGCATATTGTGACAGCGCAGGTCATGCCATAGCACAGCGCTCTATCACATCTCGTACCATATAATAACTAACATTTGTTTCTGCATATCGTGGCTTTTCTGCGTACGACAGAAGCGACAATACATCGTATCGTAATCAGTGTACGCTTGGTATAATGAAGGCAAGACGTATGCTATACATTAACTAGAATACTATTACACAGTCGGCGAGGGATATCATAACATAACATAAATCAGCATACTATATCACAGAGCATATGACATCTCCCAGCATGCCATACCTTAGTGGGCCCCCGAAACGGCGGGGCCGTTTTTTCACCGTTTTCGGACATTTTCTTGAACATGCAAACGCTAAAAGAACGGCGACCCGAAACAGCAAACAAAAGGCTCTGGGATTGGAGCCGGAACGGGAACCGGAAAAAACATGGCGACGGAACCGGCAACAAAACGCGACGGAGGCGGCAAACTAGAACTGCAAAAAACGGCCACAGAACCGGCAAGAAGACGGCAAAACGGAACTGGTAAGAAAACGGCCCTGTCGTTCCAAGGGCCCTTTTCAGTACCATACCATCACATGACAGACTAGAGCATTCCATACCACAGCATCACACAACTGATCGTACCATGACGCACCAATCCATATTGTGACAGAGCGGGGCACAGCCACGTTTATCAGACCGCAACATCATACCGTCACATAACATATCGTAGCATATTTGATGATTCATTGTTACCACTACGGCAAGGACTGTACTATACCAGGCTAGGGCATAACATCATCCAATACTAACATAGTAACATGATCGGGTCGACGATACTTCCATGCAGTGGCACAGTCGCATGCAGTATGGCAAAACAGGAGAGAAATTAGCATACCAGCGTAGCCAAGCATACATCTTAACCCAATAGGCGAGAGATACGACACTTGACAATATCATAGCATCGCAACTTATTCCAACAGCTAGTCGAACACAACACGCCATACATGTAGTATGCAGCAACTTCGTGGAAACGTCATGCGTAATGTAGGACATACCATACGGGGGGTGACTCATCATGGTAAGACTGTACTACCATAGTGGGACAGCTGGCACTTCTAGTGTAATCCTGGTTGTACGATCGGAATACCGTAAGATTGTGTTCGTTAGCGTCCACACATTCAGTCCGAAAGCAAACGCGTATAACACATCGTGACTCGACATTTGCTCTGACATAGCACAACATACGCTTCTCTAGTAGTATGCAGCAAGCGATTTCAACGCACCCTAGCATCGCAGGACATATGGCAACAACGCGCAATGGAGGATGGCAGCGCACAACATCACGTGTATATACACCTGCCCGTGGGTGTAGTATGCATCAAGCGACCTTAACGCACCCTAGCATAGCAGGACATCAGGCAAAAACGCGCGCTGGAGGATGGCAGCGCACAACATCGAAGGATTGCAAAAAGACCCTTCGAAGGATTGCACGAAGGATTGCAATCCTTCGAGGGTTTTTTTGCAATCCTTCGTTGCAATCCTTCGTTCAAGTGAGGTTTTTTTGAAATCCTTCGTTGTTTTGCAATCCCTCGTGCATATACATCTGCCCGTGGCTCCAGGGCCGTGGGCCCTGAGGGCAACCACCTGGCCCCCCATGCCGGCTGCAGGGATCGTGGGCTTACCAGCCTCGAACGTATCCCTATCCTCCTCCTCCTCCTCCTCCTCCTCCTCCTCCTCCTCCTCCCCTCCTCCTCCTCCTCCTCCTCCTCCTCCTCCGACACGCGTACTGAAAAGGCACGGGCTTGAGAGCGCCATACGAGTAAGGATCGTGGGCTTACCAGCCTCGAACGTATCCCTACCCCTAAGATTGACACGCCAAAAGGCGATGACAATCTTGGGCATCCGCCCCCAAAAGATAAGGGAATCCCTGAGATTGCCATCGTGATGAGGAGGTGCCCAGCATAGGGATAGGGATATGTTCCAGGCTGGTAATGGGCCCCTCCAAGACGGGCCCAGAGGCCTCCAACAAAAACCCACGCTGGCCCAAGAGGGGTGCGAATCACCGACGAACCGCTCCAATACGCCCCAGTTGGCTCCAAGACGCATCGAGAGACTGGCCAAGATGCCCCGAGAAGCCTCCAAGGACACTCCCGAGGCATGTGAGCTGTCAAATGGGCCCCCCTAATCCCCCCCCCCAGGCATGCGTTCGAGTTGCAAACTATCCGCTAACTGCAGCGGCGACCGATTAACTATTACCACTCTGGCCGAACTTCGGTACCATGGCCGAAACAGTCCGCCCAAGCGGTGTTTCTCGCCTCCACCGCTAGCGTCACATGCACGCCGTTGTAATTTCAGAGCGTATATTTGTGCCATTCAGTGTGTGACAAAGAGCTTGACGGTTAAGTACCTCGCTTTTGAGGCTCCTCATCATACTTGCCCAGTTCCCGGCATCATTGTATCGGCGGTGCGGCCCGATTTGGTCCGTCCCGACGTCGCTGGTTCATCGGCGATGCGTCAGGGATGCATCGGCGATGCGGTGCGATCATCCGACCCCAGTTACTCTAGCCCTATCTGCGAGGCCTCCAGTTCAGAAAGTAGTTCGATCCGTTCCAC